AGAGGGGGGGGGCCCCCAAAGTTAGGATTTAACTTTTTTTTTTTTTTTTAATTACTGCGAAGACCATCGGAATTGAATTTGACAAGGAATATTATAATGTGAATTACAATTTGGCAATCCAATTTAAAAATTATAATTGCCGACGTAAATTATGTTATTTAATTTAATTTTTAATTTTTTATCGTGGAGCACGCGGAATCATGTTGACAAATTGCCCAATTCTTTAAGAAATGTAGATTTCTTGTCCACGCCATTCATGACAAAGATTAATGACCGAAAACATAAATGGAGGTGAAATTTCTTCGAAGAAATCGTCCATTTCCCGTTTGCCTTAAGACCAAAAGGCCAATTCCAACTATTCAAAATCTATCACCCACCCCGATCTTCACATATATGTGCCAATTCCCCTCAACTCCAATCCAAAATCCATATTCTCTAAAAGTTTTGTAGAAATCATGGACAGGGAACAAGAAGAAATACAGTTTATGGGGTTCTTTGGAATCTTTAAAGAATCATTCAATATAGTTGCTTCATGGAGAAAAATTTTCAGCCAAATAACCATAGCCTTAATCATCCCTCTATCCTTCATCTACTTAACCCACATCCAAATCTCAGAGCTTCTGTTTGCAGATATCATGCACGATGAATACATATTGGATAGAACTCCAGAGGGTACCTCTTCATACAACAAAATTTCGAGTATTTTATCATCCGAATGGACCGCCTTCATTCTGTTCAAAATTGGCTACGTGATTTTCTTTATCATTCTTGCCCTCCTTTCTACATCTGCTGTGGTTTATACAATAGCCTGTATTTATACTGCCAAAGAAATTAGCTTCAGAAAGGTCATGAGTGTGGTTCCAAAGGTTTGGAAGAGGCTTATGGTTACTTTCGTATGGAATTTTATTATTATGTTTGCGTACAATCTCGTTGCGATCTTGATCTTAGTTTTGGGTCTTGTTTTGGTTGGATCATCAAAGAATGCTATGGTGACTTTTGCCTTACTTTGGTTCGTAGTATTCTTGATTGGTTCGGTATATATCAGCCTAATATATCATCTGGCAACCGTGGTTTCGGTTTTGGAAGAAAGTTATGGCCTTAATGCCATGGCAAAAAGTCAGGCTCTAATCAAAGGAAAAATGGGAGTTTCTTTTTGTGTTTTTCTTGTATTAGGCCTATGCTTTTCAGGAATTCAGCTGTTTTTCGAAAATCGCTTAGTTACTAGGAAGGCAGATATTGGATTAGTAAACAGAATAGGGTATGGACTTTTATGCCTGTTTTTGCTGTCAATTGTTCTCCTGTTTGGCCTCATCATTCAGACAATCATCTACTTCATCTGCAAGTCGTATCACCACGAAAACATCGATAAGTCATCATTAGCAGATCACCTTGGAGGGTATCTTGGAGAATATGTTCCTTTGAAGACTAAAGATGTTCAACTAGAGCAATATCAAGTTTGATATGTCATAGTTCTTTGGGAATCTATTTGCATCAATATGCATAATGAACTTGTACTATGTAGTGAATAATGTACTATGAAACACTTTATTTTATTTTGTTCTGTGTGTTTTTTGTTTTTCTGCAATTCAATCTCCTTGTCTAAAAATTAGAGATGTGAAAAATGGGATATCTTCAACTAGTCCCCTTGTGTGTAGGCCGATATCATTTGAAGTTGAACACAGAAATAACCATAAAACGTGTCCATCATTGTTAACATAATTTAGTCCTCAATTATTCATTTATAGTCAATTCTTATTTTATCTTGACAATCGATATTAATTTTGTGATAACTTTCTCTTTCGAGATAAGTTAAACATTTTTTCTTTTCTCCCTTGTCTTTGAGCATTTATTTTTCAAAATTTTCACATTTTTCTGGCAAATCATATTTTTCATCTTAAGTGCTGGTTTTTTTTTTTTTTTTTTGCCCCCATTAGGCGGCTAAGATGACCCCTGTAGAGAGTTTTAAACTGTTTCTATTGAAGTTCATGTTTCTATTCTTGTTTAGGTACTGATGACATCTAGGACGTATGAGGCCTAAATCTCCATAATGATAACATGTAGAGATAAATCTAGGGCCAATGTTATGTGAATGCTGTCCATTCCTAGGTCGACGGGTCCTACGCTGTCTCGTAGACCTCTATCCTAGAGATCCCTTTCGGGGTTAGGCACATGTTTAGCTGGTTTGTGGCAGGGAAAATGTGGTTTTGGATGTGCTAGCAACATAATGATCTTTTCTCTTGTATCCTAGACCTCCCTTATTTCTAGCCAACTTGCCCATTTCTAAAATGTTATATAACTTTAACAAACCACCAATGAAGGCAAGTTATCACACCCCCATTCATATAGATAACTATCGATTAACTTGTGTGGGAATGGAATTGATGACTCGGTCTAGGCATAGAATTTCACTTTTTTTTTACCTGATAAAACGACATAATTGTGTCTCTAACTCAAAATCATATTGCCATAATCAAATATATATATATTTTGAGGTTATAAACATGTCTACATACTATGTCAAAAAATATACAACAAAGGATCCCAACATACAACATAATAGGCTATAAACTCAAAATAGCAGCCCACAAAATAACCCTACAGGTCGTCATCCATGTACATCGAACTCTAGAATCCCGTAAGAGCTCTATAGCTAGCCGTGCTCTCTATGTAGTTTCAGGCTCACCTAAAATGCAAAAACTACATAAGCTGATACTTAGTAAGCAAAAATCATGCATGTCATGAATATGAATAATAAGGATATATGTCATTATGTCATTTACTTTAAATATTACGATAAGGAAGCATCATATTCCAATATTCATTAAAGTCGACTTAAAATCATTTCATTTGAAACATTTCATTTCATTGGGGCCTTGACCCACCTACTATGCACCGGATAGTGCTCTACATAATATCAATATCAATAATCAAATGACCAATATGAAATCGACACCAGCGAGTTGACCATCCTCTCATGACCATTAGAGGCCCATCTCCTAATTGCCCCTATGATCAACCAAGAAGTCTCCGACCTAGTAGCGCCAATAATCATAATATCACAAGGGCACAGTTGAGTGGTCCACCCTCCCGTGATCACCAAAGGCCCGTCCACTGTTTACCTTTGCAATCACCCAAGAAGTATCACCCGCATTGCCAAACATATCACATAAGCATACCTCACATGCCTTGGTGCCCTAATAGTGGTCAATAAAAATATTCATAAAGAAAACTCACTTTAAAATCATGTTTCACATGCAGAATTTTCAATCATGATCGCATGTCGTGCTTGTAGATGAAAATGCTCATGAATGACATATTCAATGAGAATAGATGTCAATAGGTTCCGCAACCTCATACTCGACGATCATAACCATCATATAATGTGCTATAAGCATCTTATCAAAGTCATGTAAATATTTCAATATTACCATATCGCAAATACTAGGTTCTTTATCATAGTTGGAAATGGATTTTTACTTACCTTTCGCTTTTGTATGTGCAAGCTCCTACGAAGTGTATATCAATTTCCTTTTTTACTCAACGTCGAAAAATCACCTGTATTATCATCTAATATTAAAGGCAATCCTCCATTTACTAACCTTAACACACAGAATCCCAAAATACGTCAATTCACGCCAAAACAATTTAGACAAAATCATTATTGCAAGTTACCGATGACATTACAAACTAATCCCATAAGTCTTGCTATTTTTCGAGTCCAATTATGGACGTCAACATCATCCAATTGTTTTCATTAACCTAGTACTCCTTAGATTATATTTTCTAGGCCCAAGAGTTTATTAATGGACATATAAATGTTGAAATCACATTAAATACCCAAATTGACAGAATCTGTTTTTTAGCTTTCCATCACCGTCCACTCATTTTTTGAATTCTTTTTCATGCCCTTACCTACATTTAACGGCTCCCAAACTTTTACCACACACCTATAAAATATATTTGAAGATAATCAGGTCATAAGGTTGTGACAAATGAAATGTTTTGAGCTTCAAAAACAGTCCATTTTCCACTACACAAAATCAGGCGGTTTTTCCCTTTGACTGTTTTCGGTTTCCATTTTATTAGTATGATACCAATAGAATTCTAGGCCATTAAAAATCATTTATACACTTCATACTTACATATAAAAACATTCATATCGATAGATATAATTTACGCACTAAGTATCATCCCAAAATCAAGGTATGAACTACTTAAATCCAGCAACCTATATCTCTGCCAAAGTTGTTTTCTCTCAAGTTCTTGTAATTAATTACCCCTATCTTGGCATCATAAAATCATTAACAACACTCCAAACTAATCACAAGAAAGTTCAGATTTTCAAGAAATTATAAACCCCTTAAGAAATAATGGATACAAACCTCAAAACCGTGAAGTAACAAAGCTGTCTAGAAATTGCAGCTTCTTGTTTTTATTTCGCTTTGACTCTTTCACCCTCTTTTTCACTTGGAATCACTTAGAGACGAGCTAAGGGAGTTAATATACTATCTAGGATGTAAATGAGTGGTCTTTAAGTGGTTGAAGTCGTGCATATTACTTAAGGATTAAGGATATTATGGGATGCAGCCACGTCAAGCAACCTTGGTGAGTAATAAGCAGGAGCTGTCATCTTGGCTACAATGTTTGACTTTTCTACCATTATTTTTATATCCATTTATGAATTATAAGATATATATTCATCATATATTAAGATCTTAGGGAGTAGACACGAGATTGATGCCTTAAAATTGAAGAAATTGAGTGTTAAAATGACAAACATCCCAAGCATAAGGTGGTTACTTGTAGTAAAAATCTGATTTTATATCTATCCTTGTAGGTACAAATCGAGTGTCATTGGCTTATTTTGATGTGTTTACAATCTATCTCACTTGCCCTAAGATCTCAACATATTTTGTAGAGCTAATTCCTCAACCGTTCATTTAATTTCTTACCTGATTGACACCCAATTGTCAACATATTTCAACAATTCACACCTCAATATTTATAATGTCATATGAGACATATATTATTGCGTTGTGATCATGACACTTCATGCCTCATATCCAAAATATGTCAATTACCTAACTAGGGTTTAAGGTGACCTCGATCAACCGAATGAAATCTTGAACCTTTGTCAATACTAATTTCCGACCTTCTCGATTTTTCATTGCTTAACAAACCAATTTCCAACATTTAGTTAACCTAATTTTCTATCATAGCTCAATATAAAATTCACCACCTAGGTCAAGGAGTCGAAGATTATCACCTTATAAAGATTTTAAAGCATCGATGATTGAATGCACCATTTTAAGAGAAAGCAATTAGGAAATTGATGCAAATGACAATGTAATTAGCATGAAAACGCATGAATCATATTGGCCATATGTATAACGTGAAGCTCGGGGTATTACACAAGTTATTGAGACTTAGAAAACTCTGGATCGCTCAAAAGATTTTTAACATGGATTTCTAATGTCTCATTCTTGACGATCGGCTCATTGACTTTCCTAGAGGACTTCTTAAGCTCACTTGTGAGATTCTTAACCCGAGTTTCCAAAGGTTTCATTCATAGATTTCAGTTTACTTAGGATTGAGATAGATTCCTTATTGTACGCTACTAACTTCTTTTTCTCCAATTAAAGCTCCTCAACCGTTGTACCCATGGCTTTGTTCTTATTAAGAATCTGAAGACTCTCCTTATACATTTTCTCATATACCTCTTAGATATCTTCCTTACATTCAGAATCTCCTTTAGTTTCCTTACCATTGTCTATGTCCTCATATATTTCACTCCCTTGGTCAGATCTATTCTTAGTTCTAGCCATGAAGGCTATATATTTTCCACTTTCCTTACGAGTGAATTTCTCATTCTGATTGTCCAAGCTACACTCATCATCAGTGAGAGTAGCATTCATATCCTTTTCCCAATTTCATCTATTGCGAACATGACCAAAGCCTTCACAATTATGGCATCTCACTGATTTAAATCTTCTCCTAGATTCACTCAGGACACCTCTACGTCTCTCATAAGGCTTCTTTTTATTCCTAAGCATTTTCTAGAATTTCTTAGCGAGATAAGCTAACTCTTTCTCACTCGATGAATCAAAATTAGATAATTTGGTCATTTTATCCCCCACAAATTTCAAGGCCATGGACTTTTCTTTTGCAGGTTTATCTAAGGTCAGCTCTAAGTTGAGAGGGATCCAACTAACTCTTCCACTTTGATAGAAGCAATGTCCTTACATTCCTCAATTGCCGTGATTTTAGGCCTTAATTGCTCGAGTAAGGATCTATGAAATTTTTTCTCCCAAGTGGAAACTAGAATTTACTATGTTATTTAAACTCACATAAAACTCATCAAAATTTTCATTCTCTCTCATTCTAATTTTCTCGAACCTCATGGTCAACATTTGCAACTTAGAGTTTTTAACCACTTGAGTTTCCTCATGTGTGGTTTTTA